CGAAAAATTTATTATTATTATTATTATTATTATTATTATTATTATTATTATTATTATTATTACTATTCTCGTTATATTTTTTTAAGTTTTTTTCGAATGTTCTCGAACATTTTACCAACTTTGCAAAAAGAAAAAAATTTTTTTTTCATGTATATAATCGGGGGGCGTTTTTTTTAAAAAATGAGGTTGTTTATTATCATCCCGGTGAGAACAAAAAAAAAAAAAAAATTTCGAAATCATTTTCGAAAACACTAAAACTTTATTAACCCATAATCAACATTAATGATGGTGATGATGATAATAATAATAATAAGAAAACATAATCTTACGTCACGATTATGAATATACTTAAATGGGAAAAGAAAAGAAAAGAAAAGAAAAGAAAAGAAAAATTTTAAAACTAGGTTGTTCTATTTTATCAACTTTGTGTCTTATTTATTTTTTCACCATCATCATCATCATCATTATTATTATCATTATTATTATTATATTTTCACTTCGTCGGTTGGATAAAAAAAAAAAAAAAGGAACGGATAAAATAAAATGGTCGGCGGAAAAACCTTACATAATAAATAAATTTTTTTCTTTTTTTTTTTATTTTCCACGAAATTGTAAAAATAAATCGAATCGAATATATTTGGACTCTCTCTCTCTCTCTCTCTCCCAATGGAAATTCTAAAAAAATTTATTTTATTTTTCCTTTGTAAATTTTTTTTTTTTTTAACTGTTTGCAAAAAAAAATGGAAAAAGATATTGTATTTTAAAAACACTTCGGTGAATTTTCTTGTAGAAGAAAAAAAATAATAAAATTTACATTGCGTGGGGAAAAAAAAAATAATAATAATAATAATAAACACGTATATATATGAGTAAAATTCAATATGGCGTCGTAGGGAAAAAAAAAACTCGAAATTTTCGGTTCCATAAAATTTTATTTTATTCTAAGAGTAAAAATAATTGTTTTTTTTTTTTTTTTAAATTAGATATTTATAATTATTTTCATTATTAATATTATTATTATTATTATTATCGTGACGTAGTTCGTTATGAGTGTCGTTACAAGTGAATTTTTCGTTTATTATAATGATGCAAGTGAAATAAATTAAATGGTGATTAAAAAAAAAAAAAAAACGGAAACAGCATCAGAAGCAGAAGGAATCGTTGGGAACCTTTTAATCATGTTTAATAACGTTAAAGATTATTTGGATAACATCAAAGACGGTTTGGATTCGGTTAAAAACGATTTGTAAGTAACGCGTTAGTGCCACGTCTTTTTTTTTTCTGTTAATCAAATCCAAAAATTTATGGTTACAACGGGAAAATGATCATAAAAATCGAATTGTAAATGTTGCGTACCTTAGTTATTATTATTATTTTCTCTTAAATACTTGTCGGAATTTTTTTAAGCACTTATTCCAGGTTTCTACCCGACGATTCCTTAGGGATAAATGCTCGAATTTCGTTGGTGCTATTTATAGAGGATTTTCTGAAGAATGTGGGCCGTCCCACATAGTGCGATTTCCTGGATGGTTCTTCTTTTA